GCTGAGCAGGGGAAAGCCTGTGTGTATCTGGTGGAGCTGGAAAGAGGAGGTGGTGGTCTGTCGGTGGTTCCAGACGGTGCAGCGCGTTTCGACCTTATTCTCTGCCGGTGTGGGAAAGATGTGCAAAATAAGTGCAGCTAGGTGATACCGCAGGAGTGAAAACTCAAAGTGGGACTTTGTTTTCTGGGGAACGAGCGCAAAACCAGCTTTGGAAGTGCCAAGACGATGGCAGGTGGCATTACATTGCACCGTGTGTTTGCAGTACGATGGGGACGTCCTGCCTTCCTTAGGTCAACAGCCTGTTGTGCCTTTGTGTGTCTTTATTGTCATAGTAAGCCTGCCCCGCGTTCTCCGCTTGCAGAGCGCGCTGTGCTGGACCTCGCTCTGTGAGGAGGGCAGGCAGGGGTGCCTGCGAGCCGGCACTCCCCGAGGTGCCCAAAGAGCTTGGTCGTCGTCGTCTTGTTTAAGAGCAGACCGAGCTGGTGAGCATGTATTCCTGTCTCACTGCAACAGGAACAAAACAGATAGAAGCAAATACAGGAACTTGGCAAATACAGGATATATCCTAAAGAGAGGGATGTAGTTTTTTGGAAAGGAGAATAACGTGGCTGTTCTGGTTGTAACTTGCCATTCCGCAACAGCAGATTTAAAGCACAAGAACTGTCTCTTAACAAAATACATGAACATGCAAACACCTCTTTTTCTGATGCTTAACTAAGGTGTGAGGCCTTAAAACATGCCGGCAACTGTGGAAGTCCACACGTTTTTTCCCCCCCCCCTTTAAAAAAAAAATAAATCTTACCTTTACCACAGAGCAGCTTTCTGTGGGGTGCAACATGGGCGGTGACAGCGTGAGAGCTGTTTGTGGTGAGTTCACACCCTTCCTTACCTTGCAGTAACTTGTTCTTGGCCCGTTACTGAGAGCTCTGAATGCTCTTTAATTTCATTCTGCAAAGCCGGAGGCTTAAATTGTACACACTGGAAACGTGCTAGGACGTTTTCCCCGTCATCCGTGTGGCTTACTCATTTGAAATGTTTTTTAACTCCTAAATGTGCCAAGAAATTTATATCTTTGTGGTGCTTCTTTATTAAAAATAACTACCTTGTTTATGCCAGCAGCTGCTGTAAAAATGTAGCCTGCCGCTTTTTACATAATATGGTATTAAACAGGTTTTTTGTTATTTAAAATTTGAAAGATAATGTTCAATTAATGGTAATAGATTAATTTAAAGCAATATTTGTGTATTGTCATCGCTGCGTAACCTGGACTTTAATGTCAAGATGATGAAAACTTGGGTTAGCACCGATCGTTTGAACCAAAGGAGTATTGGTTTCGTGTATTCTAAAACAAAGGCGCGTAGATAACTTCGCCATTTTGTAACTCTGCCGCCTTATGCTGGAAGAACACGAACCCTTCTGTTTGCCAGTGCTTCCTCCTTTTGACGTCACCTCATTGTTGCAGGCTTTTACGTCTCTTCCTGCTCAGCTACGTCTGGGACAACGGTTTTCCGTTACGGTTCGCGGATCTGTGAGCTCTCTGAATGACTGGCGCGGGGTTCTCGAGACGTAACAAAATCAAGGCTGCGATCGGGTGCCCGGGTGGCAGCCGTACGAACCAATAGGCAGGAGTGCGAATCCTGCAACAACGTGTGGTTTGTTCAGTGCCACAGACTTGCTTTAACCATGGTGACAGACGAGAGGTACCGTGTGTCCCGTGAAATATGCGGGAGCAGCTTCCTGCGTTTCGTCCCCCGTGAACAGTGGTTTCAGCAAGGAGACGGTCCCAGTGACGTTAGATTTTTTTGAGCCTTTTAAATGATCTAGAGTAGGAGCAACGGGATAGGAATTCGGTATTAAGTAGGACCCCGAGAGCAAAGACGTGTCGTTCTTCAGGCAGACGGAGGAGAGGCGCGCTGCAGTAAAGCTGCACCGTGTGCGGGAGCAACCTACACGAATCTCACGCGGTCAGGGACATTACTCGTGACAGTGGACTTCCACAATGAAGCACTGTTCAAATCCATCTCCTATCCTACACTTGGGGTTGAGACAAAGTTTAATGAATAATAAACCTACACAAATTTGGTGGTTTTCTGGTTTCCCTGAATGTTTTGAGATCTTTTTGCTTCCTAACAGAATGTGTGTAATTCAGCAAAATACAATTTTAAAGACTTTTTTTTTTTTAACCGAGGAAAAGATTTGTTGTTGCCTTAATGTTTCTGTTGTTACTGTTAATGCTGCAGCAATGACCATTGCTTGAGTCCTTTTTTTAGAAAACATACAGATTTATGTGACGAAAAATATAAACCAGTTGGTATGATGCTACCTTATTGGACAGCCAATAAATTCTAACCAAAAGCATTTGTAATTTCAGAGAGCTATTTGCAGACTTCTCCATTCTTAGAGAACCATGCCGAGTTCTTCTTTCTTAGAAGAATAAACAGGCTTTTATGCTTTGACATTTTCTCAGTCTCTATGGGGGGAGATCCCCAGGTGAAAACGTGGCACAAAGAAATGAAGTAGCTTAGAACAAAACCCCTAAAATCTAATCCTTTTAGATTCTTTAGAGGAGACTATTTATTCCAACCAGCTTCACCGTTCGGTTGATGTTCCAGAATCCTCCTGCTAGCAGCTTACGGAGCGCTGACACAAAAGGAGGTACAGATTTGTAGATTTATTATTTTTTTTAAAATAAGCAGTATCTTTATTACTGAGATAAAGACTGTACCCTCTCATTTCTTCAGTTGTTTTTTTTTTCCCATAAAAACCACATTAAAGAGAGTTTTTAGCTAGTTATTGGGGGCTAACTGCAGTCTGCCAGATCTATTCATGCAAATGCCTTCCCAAATATGCCAACGCATTGCAAATGAAAGGGGTCTGTGCTAGAGTTCCTGTTTATTACACAAGAGTGAATTTACAGTTTTGCAAGTCTTTTCCTGTTGTCTTTTAACCTTTACTTCCAGCTGGTTTGAGACTGAAAACACCGAGTCATGGGTCTTCCGTGAGCGTGGGGAAGAACAAGCACTGTGAAATGACCTGGCGTTTCTGTATTTAGCGGAGTTGGAAAACCAACCCAGATGCCGAAGAGGGACTGTATTTAATGCTCCCTCAATTCTTACCATTTGGGTTCTGGCTAACAAAATACGGGGAAGGGGGTTGGAAGGAGGTAAGTTCAGAGCCTATAGATGTTTGGAGGGTGTCCACAGGAGAGAGGATTTAGCGTGAGACACAAGGGTAGCACGCGGAGTACTGGAATACCGCACGCCGAGGAGAACGCTGTGAATTCCTTCCTAGCAGACGGCTGTCGCGCAGAAGACCCAACACTTTTTTAAGAAAACAGAATGAAAAAGTCTGTGCAAAACGTGCATTCCATTTGACGTGGCAACTGACGAGCTGTTTCTGGGGCCTTCTCTTAGGTATGGATTGGGTGCAGGTCCTGATGAGATGACGGGGACACCAATATTCCTTTTCATTTTGTGAGTTACTTTGTCAAAACGTAACAATGTCCGAAGTCCGGCGTCTTTCCCTGGATAATGACATATTAAGTTTCTGTGCACGGTAAACTAACCAATGAGGCCGCGATTGCTAGCTTTTCGTATTTATTTTCAAAACACCAAGGGATGCAATATTTCCTGGACATTGAATTGTTTCCTTTTAAAAATGAGGTACAGGTACTGTCAGCATTAACCTTGAGCACCTTTTTCCCCCAATGTTTTTCTCAAAAACGAGCCTGGTCCCGTTGCCTTGAAACTCTTTTATTCCGTTCTTCTACAGTTAAGCTTTACGTTCCTGTTCACAGACAACTGGATGTTTTTCTCCACGGCGCACAGAGCTTTCACTTCAGTCAGACTTGTCTGCTCCCCACCCCCCGCTTCCAATGTACAATTCCCACTTGCAGCATTTTCAGTAAACATGGGATCAATTGAGTATACAGAAATAGCTTCTTCTATAAAATTTCCATTAAAAAAATAACAAGTTTTTATTTACAAAGTGTTTGCTACTACAAAGTAATATTTCCTATTGGTTCAAATATACTATTTGCTAATGCCAGTGTTCCTATTAGGAAAGTAAAACTTTGTATATGCATTTTCCTTTATATCTTTGTCAATGTTTAAAGCACATATACTACTACCACATTCTTTTTTACACTACTCCTAGCCACGTACAATGTGGTAGTAGAAATTAACACTATTTGATCAGGACAAAAAATCAGCATAGCTTAAGAGCAGTTTTTCTGCAAAAATAAAACTTTAGTTTATAATTTAAAGGTATTTGGAAAGAAAGAAATCTATGGAGAATTCAAAAATACGCAGCAAATAATTGTTTAAAAGACGAACGGGCAACTTGGACTTTCCCAAAGACAAAGGAGTCTAGCGCAAGAAAAGGGAGAAAAAATTCTGCCGAAGTGTTTGTGTGACACTTTATGCCAACACATATGTTAGGGGAGGGGGAGAGCAAGACGAGTGGATTAAAAAATTAATTAAAACTTCAAATCCCCTACAGTTAGCATCCTCACAAATTGGATTTGTCAGTGCTTCTTTTCTTCCCACCCACCACGTTTACAAACCCGCCTTTGAGGTCAGCACTGGAAGAGGTCATAAAACAGCTTTGGCCGTGACTGGCCTTGTTCTTAAAAAAAAAAAGGGGGGGGGGAC